GCTAATCCATGAAGGCCTTTCTTTATCTCATGCTACTTTTATCTCTTTGACAGCTCTTACAGTGGCAAAGCTTTCCTGAACCCCAGGAATGTGATACACATGCAATCACCTTCTCCAACATATTCATTGACTGCTTCAGGGGGTGTGAATGTGTTATAAACTTTGGCTTCTTTCTGCAAAAGCTTCCTATTGCCCTTTCCCTGCTGTATCAGATCTTCCCAGTGCATCCCAGGTATCCATATTTACCTGAACTTGATTGTATTTTACACTCAGATTTAAACTCTTAAAGTTTAAGCTCTTAGACTTGTTTCTTCAGTGACAAGTTTGTTATTTCTCATCCTGCAGACAAATATAATCCTTTATATAATTATACAAATAGATAATAATATATTTATACAAATACAATGTTTTGTAAAATATAATTATACAGATACAATTATTAATATATCTGAATCTCTTTCCAAGACTTGGGCAAGTGACATCTCACCCTGGAAATTTGCTCCTGTCTCAATTTAAATTTACCTGTTTATTCCAAAATCTTTGTTGGTGACACTTGTATTTAAGAAGCTTATCAGAGTCATTGCAGATAATGAGGGTTTTGCTGTGGGAATCTCCACCTCCAGCTCCTGGTGCAGACACATGTGGCGCTCATTTACTTGAGCCACCAGCATTTTATTTCACCCAAAACTTCTTCCTCACTTTCACTCTTTGCTGGTCCCAGTGAGTCCCTGGTTGACTTTCTGTCTTTTCTATGTTTTTATGTGCTTTTTTATGCCTCTGGCAAACTGCTCTGCAATATCCTTTCCACTTGCCTTATTGTGGTTTTATATTTGCCAGTGTTTATGCTATATTCTATTTTCCTCATTTTTGACAGCTATCTTTTTTGTTCCTAATAGCCTTCCTCACTCTGCTGCTTAACTTCTTTGTTTTTAAAAAATCCTTTAGGGTCTTTATTAAGGAGTGTTACATGTTAAGCTGGAGCCTGTACCATATCTTGAAGCTGCTACTGGGGTATTTGGAAGTATTTTATTCTTTTAGCTCTTCCACTTATTTTTTAATGCAATTCTCCTTTCTAAATTTTAGATATTATCAGGAATCAAGACAATCATACACCATGGTGGAAAATTAGACAATAGGAGGTTCACATGATTCCCAAATGGTGCAAGAAAAAGCAAATCTCTTTCAGTCTGATCTGTTTTAGGCACTGAACCTCCAAAACACAGGACTTAGAGGGTCCCCACACATATTATTATGAGCAATCACATCTTTCCTGTAGTTTATTTAGCAAATCTAATTTTAAAACAGCTTTTTTTTTAAAACACAGCTCTTTCTTCTGCTGTTTCCACTCAGTGGCTGCTCGAGAGCCTCACTTACCTGCCAGCTGGAGACTTTCCAGCCAGAAGGGTTTGCACCCACCCAGGTCGTACCCCCTTAATCCTAACCTTGGAGCTGAGACAGTTTTTCTCCTTTCCTGGGGATTACTCCCCTCCTGGAGTACCAAATCCAGGCTGCTGCAACCTCAGAGATCAACTTTCCAACTATCCACACCGATGGCTGAACACAGACTTGATCCCACTCCTGGAAACCTTTCTATGAACAGCAATAATACGGGACTGGGAATGGAAACCTTTATCCCTATTTCTGTGCTGATCCACACGAGTTCCATGTGCAGTGGAAGCTGTAGGTGTGATTCAGGGGCTATTAAGACTCATGGAACCCTAGAATGGTTTGGGTTGGAAGGGACTTCAAAGATTATCCCATTCCAACCCCCTGCCATGGGCAGGGACACCTTCCACTAGCCCAGGTTGCTCCAAGCCCTGTCCAAGCTGGCCTTGAACACTTCCAGGGATGGGGCAGCCACAGCTTCTCTGGGCAACCTGTGCCAGGTCCTCACCACCCTCTTCCCAAAATCCAATCTCAACCTGCCCTCTTTTAGTTTAAAAACCTCTTTCAATACGTTCTCTGCATTTTAAGCTCCTTTCTTAAGCCCTGATTCATAAAAGCACTGAAGTATACCCAGAGTCCAAGACATCTGGAAGTACTTTGCTGAATTAGAGCCTTATTAATCTTCCTGCATTTAAAATAACTTTTTATTACATTTTAAAAATAAATGGGCATGCACTGTTTCTTCATGTTTGGGATTTTTTTCCAAACATTGATTTTAATGCTCGTCTGGCTTGGCTGGACAGCCCTCCATCCATCCAGGCAGCTGCTCCTGCTAAACCTGGGAGCAAACTCCCTCTCACAGCACTGATGCTGCTGGGAAGGTGATCCAAGATATCTGTGATTCACACTTCCAGTGGAAAACTACCAAACCTCCCTTCACAGCCCTCAAAAGCCACTCTGAGCCATCCTGAATCCGAAAACACGAGATATTTTGAGCTGAAAAACAGCAGAATGCAGCTGTGGGGATATTTCTCAATTATTTCAATGGGTTTGGGGAAAAATGCCAGCCAAGTGTTGCTCGCACCAGTTGCAAAAGGAATGTTTGGAGCTGGAGGGAATAGCAGTGCTGGGATTTGGGGCTGTGGTCTGTGTGGGTCAGGGAGCTGTGCAACGTTCAGCAAAGGTGCTCCCTCCTCCTGGCTCTGCTTCATCAGCCAAAAATTTAAAAAATTTAAAAATCAAACAATTAAAAGCGTGTTTCCAGCGCTGGGAGCAATTGGTCCTGTTGGAATTGAAATGAGAAAAGCTACAGTTTGGGAGGAAAAGACCAGTAGTCCTTAAAACACCTTGTGGGGCTCATCTTCCCTCTTCACTTGTCAGCCTAAAACACCCCGTGGGGAGGTGCAGAATGAAGGGATTGGGCATGAACAAATGAAGCACATTTCCAAGGAAAGAAATAATGGATCAGCCCAGGCTCAGGGGTTGTTTCACAGTCTCTCACCACAGGTACATGGCAGGTGTGTGACTCCTTATCCCAGCACAGCTCATCCACCTTCTATGAATAAATCGGATGCAAATATTCCCCTGTGAATCCCACTGGGCTCTTTTCTCTGCACATTTATTTTTCAGCAATGCAAAGAAGAGCATCTTCTGTATTTAATTTTTTTCCTCAGCATTGCAAAGGAGCACATTTTCTGAATTTATCAGGTTTTTTCCAGCAGTGCAAACCAGTGCATTTGCTGTATTTAATAATTTCTGCATTTCTGTGTTTAATGACAGCAAATGTACTGGTTTGTGTGCACAAAAAAAATAGGTTTGGCCAAAGGGTGCAGAACCTTGCGGTTATGAACTTTGTGTGTAAAATTTTGCGCAACTTTCCCCTCTTCTACAAAAAGCTCAATGTTAAAAAATGAAAAAGTGGGAGAAAGAAGCAAAATCAGATCTTCCAGGTCCTTCCTCATCCCTCCATCCCCACATGGGGCCGGGGGAGCAGCAGAAGATGCTCCAAGTCCAGCCACGTTTGACTTATGGAAGCCCAGCTGAGCTGTTTGGGAGCAGTTTTTGGAAAAGTATTGGAAGTTTGTTTATGCCACGTGAAGGCCAAGCTACTCTGAAGGTCTTGCTTTCAGGGGAGAAATGGAGAAGTCGAAGAGGATGCAGCCGGGAGGTTTGTTTTTCACACTGTTTTCGGGGATGTATTTGTGTTCTCTGACAGTGACTTACAGCCCGGCTTTCTTTTCTATTTTGTTAGGGCAATAAAGAAGATAAATCTGCAATAATTCAGCTCCCTGTCTTTAATAAAATCTTGTCTTCTTCACACAGCCCCTGGGAAGATCTCCATTGTGTGGCCCTGCGAGATTGGTTGGGTTTTTCCATTTCACCTCTTCACCAGAACGACAGAAAAATAACATTACTGGGGAAAATTAATAGCTAAATACAATTTCTTGCGGAGGGAAAGCTTTGAGCAGGAGGAATGGGACTTGATCCTGGGTCTGACTGTGCCAGCTCAGAGGATGCTCCTTGGGAAAGGCCAGGAGCAGCGTGGTGGATGCTGAGATTACTTTTGTCTTTGTTAGTGGCTTGGAGACTCCCAATATTGGCTAATGAGGATTTCTATCCTCGACTTTGATCAATGTCAAGCCAATTTTTGTTGTTTTGGGGCTTTAGTCTGGCACAGAGAACAAAGGAGGAAAGAAGGGAGTGCTGGGGGAGACACTGGGGGGAGAAAATCCTTGGAAATCATAGAACGGTTTGGGTTGGAAAGGACCTTCAAGACCACTGAAAAACAAAGGGGGTGTGGGCATTTCTGTACCCCCAGAAGGAGACAGCGGACAGAAGGGGTTGGAAGGTGGGCTCTGTGGGTCCTGCCACCTCCAGGGATGGGAGACAGGGGAGCGGCCCTTCCCCAGCCACAAGTGCAGAAGCTGAGGGTGCCCCATTGCTGGAGAGCACGTGGAAGGCTCAGGAGATGGGGGTGGTCCGAGCCCTCTCCCGCTGGGGCAGGAGGTGACTCAGGAGCTCCCCGGGGGATCCCAGAGCACCACAGATCTCCAAAGGCGCGGGGAGGTGATGTAGAACCCGCAGCACAGACGAGAAGAGACCCAGCCCCGCAGGTGACCTAAACCTGGGTCAGGTGGGGGGGGCTGGAGACACCGCTGGGATCTGGACGCCCCCAGGTGACGTGGGACGTCACAGGTGATCTGGAACACATCGTGAGGTGACCTAGAACCCCCTCCATCCTCCCCCCCCCCGCTGATCAGAGCCCCCCGTCCCGCCGGTCCCGCGGGTGCGCGGCCCCTTTAAGAGCGGCCGGGTCCCCTTTACTCTATGTTTACATAACACGGCCGGGCCGTACCACCGCTCGCTGTGCCGAGGGGGGGGGGGGGGGAGGCGCGCGGGAAGGGGGCGGTGCTCTGCGTGGTTCGCTCCGCCCCCTCCACCGGCCATTAATAGGCGTGAGGAGGGCGGGGCCACTCCCGGTTCCCCCCCTCCCGCCTCCCCCGGCGCGGCGGGTTGGTCCGTGCCCGCGCTGGCCCCGCCCCCGTCCCCCCCGCGGTGTAGTGGCCGTTGCTGGCGGCCGCGGGCGCAGAGCGGAGCGGAGCCCGCTCGGGACGCGGCCCCGCGGCGGCGGCGGCTGCCTGGACGGGACGCGACGCGACGCGCGGTGGGGGGGCGGCCGTCGGTGCGACCGCAGCGGCGGCGGCCCCATGTTTTCGCCGAGCCAGGAGGAGCTGTGCGCGCTGAACAAGGAGCCCGTCAAGTACGGGGAGCTGGTGGTGCTGGGGTGAGCGCTGGGCAGGGGAGCCGGGGTTGGGGTGGTGGTGGAGGGGGGAGCGCGGCGGTCCCGGGGCGGGGGGGAGCGGCGAGGCTTCCCCCCCCCCCTCTCAGTGTGTCCCCCCCGCTCTTTCCCCTCGGGTGTCTCGGCGCTGCGAGGGAGCGCTCGGAGGTGGAAGGGTGGCGGTGATGGGGAACCGAGGGGGTGATTCCCGCCTTCCCAACCGCCCGAGCGCGCGGAGCCGCCGTTGGGGGGGCGAGGGGGGTCCCGGTGTGTGCGGGGAGCCATCAAAGGGGCGGGGGGGTCCCGGTGCCTGGGGGGATCGGGGAGGGAGGAAGGGGGGGGGGGGGAGATGTCGCGGCGGGTCTGGGGAAGAAGAAGAAGAAGAAGAAGAAGAAGAAGAAGAAACTTGGTGCGGGTCTCCGCGTTATGACACACAGACACCCCCCTCTCTCCCCGTCCCTCCGTGTGAGCCCGCCCGGCTCCGGGGGACGGCGTCCTCCTTGCAGATGGCAGGGGGAGATGACTTTGGAACGAGGGGGAGAGGCGCGGGGTTGGGGGGGGGAGGATAAGGAGAAGAAGGAGGGTGAAGTGCTTATATTCAGATTCGTAGTGGAAATGTTTATTTTCTCGGCTTGATATGGATCTTAAAGTAATCCGCTTGGCATTACGCTGTTGCCCTGCTGTTAGGGCTCGCTGAGCGCCGCGGAAGCAGATGAGGGAGAAGCGTCTAAGCCGCGCTTGCTGAGAGCCCTTCTGAACCCTTAGAAGAGATGCTTAATTCTGATACTTTAACGCGTGGAAACGTATGGTTAATGGAATAATTTTTATACGTAAACACAGCAGAGAGGTTTCGAGCCGGCCGTGGAGGGAGAACAACCTCAGCCTCCCCCTCCATCCCCCCCCCGAGAATCTGGTACGTGTTTGCTGCAAGGTCGTGGGAAACCCTTTTCTGGCTTCTTAGGGATTTTTGTTTTGTTTTGGTCGAGTCGTTTCAAAAAGAGCTGCGTTCACCTCTGCAGAACAACTGTTTGGAAAAGAGCAGCCCAGGATGGGTGCTCGTATCCAACAGTGCACCCTTTTTTTCTTTAAGGGATGCTCTGAATGTTTCCTGTCACGAGACTGGGTCAAGATGCAGTTACCGGGGAATAAAATACGGCTGCTCCCATGAACGTGGCGTAGCTGGTACTTGAAATCCTCGAATTTAAGTCACTCGATTCGTGAGAAATAACCATATCATCACACTGAATTTAATAAAGAAATGTTCTTAGTGTTTCGGCTGTGGAAATGGAGGGTGAGCTCAGCTGTGCAACACTGTCTCTGACAATAAAGTCATAGTATAATGCTGAATCTTTAATTAAATTAGAGTGCATAAATTGATGTTGTGCTGCAGAGGCTCTTTGTGCACAGCTGGAAGCATTTTCCTTTCTGTTGCCCTACTATTTTTAGCAGCAGTTGAAAGTACAGAAGTATGAAATGTTTTGGCTCTGATCTTAACCTGGCAAAGTCTGGTGTGCTCTGCCTTTAATATGGGAACCCATTGATCTCTGCTTATCGGTTCTCCCGGGGTCTTGATCTTCACTGCGTGTGTTGAAACAATGCAGTGAAATTTAAATAAACTTCGTATGGCTGAGTTTAGGTCGTGTTTGAGTTTCAGCTGTTCTGTGGAACTGCTGAGGTTACATCTCCTGAGGTGTAGCATGTAGTGGAAAAGCAAACAGACCCTCCTGTCCCTGCAGTGCAGTCGGGAACAAGAAGTCTGTGAACGGGGAAGCTGAGTCTCTCTGGTCACTGCGCTGAAACAATGGGGCATTTGCTGTCACTGCTCACACAATGTGCTTGGGAGCCGGGATGTGGGAATGGGGAGACATGATGGAAGCAGTCCAGGAAATTCCATGACTTCAGGAACAGCATTTTTTCATTTTTGAACCGAAGACTGGAGATTTAAGATCCATTTGCCACTTCAGGAGTTAATTAGTGCATGTCCTATCGGAGATATCTTGAATGTTGTCTGTAGTGCCATAAATAATGCAAACATATCTCTCTTTCTTTGGTGACTCAACATTTGTGACTAGGAACTCTTGGAACGGCTTAAGCATCTGTTCAGCGTGCTAAAAAAACCTCTTAATACCTGTTTTGTATTAAAATCTTGTAATCTGGAGCTTGATTTAAATAAGACAATGTAAGTCTGCTCTCCTCTCCGTAGTGAAACCGAGACCTGGGGACTGGCAGAAGCGAAGCAGCTCCTCTTACAACTGCCTGATTAAAATTGATAGCGCAGCCTCGCAGCTAGATTTGAAAAGGAGGGAAAAAAAAAAAAGCTGTTTTGAGACACTGTGTGGGTTGTTGTTTTTCTGAAAAAAGCCTTGATTGTGATGTTGATGAATAACTTGTGTCTTGATCTGCGAGACTTTTAAATTAGGTGGTGAAAAGGGTGATGAACAAAGGAATTGGCACACCTGGCAAGCTGCTGAGAGTCCTGTTTTTTAAGATGACAAAACTTTCCCTTTATCTTTTGCTCTTACTCTGTCTCAGCAGTACTAAAGCGAGGTCGTTGACCTTTAAATCAAAGGGGGGGGGGGGGGGTTTTTTTTTTTTTTTTTTTTTGGCAGTAGCTGGTTCTCCCACCAGGACACGTTGCTGTGTTGTCTCGCAGTAGTTGTGATTGCTCGTCTGCACCTTATCGTGAGCCCAAGTGAAGCCCAGGGCGCTCCACGCCGGTCCTTGCTGCGAACACATTTCCAACAACCTTCTCCCAGCAGCGCGTTACGTGTCTGCTCTGCCAGTGATGTGGCACTGCGTGTTTGGTCAAGATTTTGCCGAGTTTTACATAATCGATGTTGTAGTGAATAGGCACAGTTTATGTAAATCGAGCCAGGCAGGTCAAGATGGCTGGTAAAGAAGAGATCATCTGCTCGATTGTGAATCTGCTTGTAGTACATCTGCTGGGAGCATCATCTGCTCACAAAAGGCTCTGGATTTCTTGGTGGAGCAGAAGCATTCATATTCTAATTTTTTTTGAGGGGGGAAGAAAAAAAAAAAAGAGGCAGCTTTGTTTGAAGTCCTGTCAAAGTAATGGCTCATTATGTATTTCTTGGAACGCGTGGCTGGAGGGAGCTGAGGAGATGCTGAATGCGGTAACAAGTACCTGAACAGTGTCTGGGTGTCAGTGCATTGTTTGTCAGTAGCTTTTGTTTGACTTGTCTGGTATCTTGTTGACATTTTGAGGTCTGTCCTGTCCCCTTCCTCTCGGTGCCCCTTTGTCCCCAGCTCTGAACTGTGCTCTGATGACTTTATTCCACGTGTCCTTCAGGCCTGGCTTTGTTCCTATGTGGGAGCTGGTCGCTGGTGCAGGAGGTGCTGTCACTGAAGGCAGGTGTCAGTCAGTGGCCTGGTGCCCTTAAATCCCCCTTCCTTTGGGACTGGGTGGTGTCCATGGGCAGCTGTGGCCTCTCAGAAAACTCACTTGATTAAAAAGATGTAAGTTGAAGAAGGAACACCAAAGACATGAGTTTGCCAATGGCTGAGTTCTCCAGCAGTGAAAGATTTTGTACCTGACATTGGGTATTTTGACTGTTGTCTTGCAGCCTGTTCTGAGGGGTTTGGATGAGGTTTCTAATAGCTATGTGCACATAAATGGAATATTTGTTACTAATCAAAGATTTCTGTTTGCTGCTCATTAGCAAGGAGGTGCAGCCTGGTGCATCCTCAGCTGAGGAGCCCTCTGTCTTACAGGCTTAATGGGTTTTGCAATATCTAATACATTTTTTTATCTAACTAGACAACATTCTGAGGGCTGTCCCCTAGTGTTGTTACAGTGGTCACTTTGGGGTTGCTGTCAGCATTATGTATGTAAATTTTCCATTGTCAACCATTAAAATAAATGAATTGGTAAACTGGGAGCCTTCAGGCCCAAAGGAGCTGCTGCGAACTATGAGAGTTTTGTTTAATGTGGACTGTTGAACAACCTCAAATAAACAGGCTGTAGTTCTGCTTAAATTTAACCTTTTTAGAAAAGCAGAATAAAAGGTTGGAGCTTGGAGCCATCTGGTCTAGTGGAAGATGTCCCTGCCCATGGCAGGGGAGTTGGAACTGGATGCTCTTTAAAGTCTCTTCCAACTCAAACCATTCAGGGATTCTGTGAACATTCTCACCTGTGTTTGCAGTGATAAATTCTGTGGTAATTTTTGGGAAGCTGTTCTGATGGATGGACCACTTTATACTTGAAACAACTTTAGATATGAAACAGTCATTCCCTGTTAACCTGAAAGGACCTGCATTACTCAATTCCTGTTTCTCATAGTGGCTTTTTCTGACTGATTGAAGTTACTCCTTCACTTTTACCTCCCTGACAGGGTAAACAAAGTCTCTGAAGAGTTTTCTGTTCATAAGCACATTTCTTTTTTTTTTTTTTTTTAACTTACCTGTTTGGCTTTTCAGGTAACTGTTGTTGCTCTTTTGCTGTGCAGTTCAGGAGGAAGCTGATGCAGCTTTGCAGTGGTGTTGACAAATGCAGACATAACGTGGTGTCTCTGCTTGTCCTTGACAGCTCTTTGCTGCTTCTTGTGGACTGAAGTCAGAGGGATCCTGGCTGTGGAATTAAATTGGGGTCCTAGTTTGCACATGGATGGATTTGTTGCCTGATATCAAGCTGAAGCTTTGTTTAACAATTCTGTAATTTTCTGCACTAAATGGTGTAGGTATATTGGTGAAACTGCTTGGGTGACTCAGGTTCTGCTTTTAAGCCTTATTTAAAAACGTACTTTAGTTTCATTTAAAGGAGCAACTGTAGAGATAACGAGAGACACCCCTTAAATACCTTCAAGGTCAGGATTCTCTTGGAGAATCACTGGCTCCAGCAGTTTCTGCTGTTCTGGAGAAATGGATTTTTTTTTTTTTTATTTGATATTAGCAATGGCTTCTTGGAGAAATTTATGCCTCGTGCTCAGTTTATGGTGGGTCTTACATACTGCACATTGAGGCTGTGTGGTCAGGGTCAGTTCAGAACT